CTCCGCGAAGATGTCTGCGGAAAATCGGATCGGCGCTGCAGGCAATGCACAAAACTGGCGCCACATTCTGTCCTGGTTTTAGAACTTTGATGACATGGCGATGGTTTCAAGTCATACATCCAGCAACTGATAAACAAAAATTTCCGGCACATTGAAAGGCTATACCCGGTTTCTTTTTCGTGGGCTGAACAAGTACACAGACTATATGGGCGAATTCAGCCCACATTCCTCAGGACCGATTCGTAACTGCTGAGTTATTCATGTGAGCCTGGGTGTAGAAAGGAGGAATCTTCTGTCGTCAGTTTTCTTTTGTCTATTTCGTGGTTTATTTTCAAGTGACCCTTTTCCCTGCAAAAGGCGCTGTTTACCCTACCAGACGCAGAGTCCTCAAGCACCGGCAAGTGGCACATCAAACTGAATATGACAATTAGCAGCAAGCCTAGTGGCCTTTCGAAAGGGATTTGCATGCATTCAACCTAGAATTCGGACAATGGGCACGAAACCCTATCGGTGTTCTCAGTCAAATACTCCTCGCTGGGAAGACCAGTTGGTAAACATGCTAAAGTCTGGTCGATTCAACTATGTCGGATGCCTGCGGCTGTCAATCGATCTTCTGAATTATTCAGTGGGGATTTTCGCAGAACTCCCCTCATACTGGACTTAGTGTGTGGTGACGCATTAGACGTAAGAACAGCTCCATGCCCGCAAAAAGTAACTAGTATAATCAACAGCGCTATTTCACATTAACACACTTCATCTCGTTTTCTGCTGCCTAGGGTCTTACCACATAGAAACAGAAGTCTACATATCTCTAAGTAGGCAAATATAGTGCCTTAGCTCGCGCATTTTAAGTCGACACAGGAAGAAAACAAGCTTAGCGAGTACGGGAACCACCTATGCATTTATTTAAAATGGGCTGTGGTAAGAAAGTGGCAACCATAAGACACCTTAATAAATTACGAACCGATTTATCAGGACTATAGAAGACTGAGCGAGATACAGTGTTCTGATGGATGGTTGTCTTTGTATTTTGCGTTTTAGCGTCACGCCGAAGAGTGTACATAATTCTATTTAGGTTAGCTTTATTATCACCATAAATGACTTTAATCTAAAGGTCCCAGTCGTCTTCTAAGGAAAATGCTGAAGTCATCGAAGACAGTGGAGCCACCTATGCCGCTCCAGCCTCGAAGTACTGTCTCGGAGCTTCAGAAAAAGGCTTGAGAGATCTGCCTATGAGGTCGTATGATCAGGAAATGAGGCGTAACGAGTCGGTCGAGGATAATATAATATTGACATTCCTTTATATTCAATTTGCCGACGTTACACAGAAAAAGAACATGAAAGATCAACATCGTTGCTCGATGAACGGAAAAGTTTCACCTAATTATGTAGGCATCAACTAAGGATTGTGATCTAACCCACTGCATCCACAACGGAAAATCAAGTCGAAACTATTGGTTTTCCAGTTTTCTGCTGCTGTAACCAAGTGCATGGCAGAACGTCGTAAGTCTGTATGCTAAGGCTAACATCAATAATAAAAAACAGGATTAAAGCGGATGATCCCCGTACCGGGTCATCAGGTGGATTCCATGAGCTACAGCAAGGTGGGACAACTGAAATAACTGGAAGACAAAGTAGACAGTGGTAATGAAGGGGGACTTAATGATGATTATGATCATCGTCAAAAAGAAAACCAGAAGAAAAACAGCTGAGCAAAATAAAATCGACACTCGTACATAAAACAACTGCTAAGTATCACTCACCATTGATGTCGCTCTCTCCGACATTAACTGTCAGTTCGCCCGTCCCATTGACGGTGTTTGGGGGCAGAAAAGTCGCCTTCTCGGTTCTTCCGAGGCTGGGAGTGGTCGCTTTCAAGTTAGGAGCATCGCCGCTGCCAGCTTCTTTCCCGTTAGCGGCATGCCAATAATTGTCACCGTTCTGACCGCCAAAATCATCCCGCAAGACCACATTATGACCGAAAGGGTCATGTAGGGAAGAAGGAGGGACACAAGTGACGCAATAAAATTTGTCATCCTTGGCCACTGTCTTCTCACCCGTGTGAAGAAGCCGTCTTAGAGGGGAAAGGATAGTAGGGATTAAAGGCTATCAGTAGGAAAGTGGGTGACTAAAGCACTCAAACTCTTCATGTACATAGAGTTGCTTGTTCGTCAAAACACTCTAAAGGCTCAATGGGTGATGATTTGAAGAAAATTGGAGATGCGATCGCAGTACCAGTTCCCTAACGTTTTGGTTGGCATTGCTGTTGCTGAGCGAGACCTTAGTGCCTTTAACTGCTGGGCCTCACAACTATTTCTTTTGTATTTAAGGCTTTGTAACGAACATGTTGTGGTTAACTAGAAAATGATAATTACTCTTATGGGCGCAAAAACCCTCATTCTGCCAGGCTAACATCATAAGCCCGCATGAAGAGGCCTTTGAACGGGGACGAAGCTCAACGCGTCTTCAGTGAAAATAAACTCGTCAAAATCGGGGTTAAAGCTCCGCAGGTGTCATCAGTTTCCGAATATCTACGTGTTCGTATTGAAGCTAAGCGTTTACAGTATGCTCAGAATACAGAAGCGATACAGAACTGGGAAAGTTAAAGAGCTTGTTAAACGTTTTAAACCTAATCGATGGAGGCGCCTGTTGGGCAGGTTCCTGGTGAAAGGTATCGAATTATGCAAATGGAACCATCTCAGATTAAATGAGTTATCTATTCATGGTGATTTCGAAAGATGCTTATCCGGAACTTCCTGCTGCTTAGATAAGAAAAGGCTTCAGTAACCTTATGCGAATCCCTTTAGTGAAAGGGGAACCAGTTGTATCTTGTTTCATTTTGACTGGTTTTCTATGCAAAACTACCAATCCTCTCCTAGTTGTCTTGATCTCATCGTACTACTGAATCGTGATTACTCTCTAAGATGCTTTTAAGGTCAAGCGTGCGCAAATTTCCTCATGATAGTCTAAATATCATGCGAAGGTCATCACTGTCTTTCGCGACATTCCTTCTTGCCGTACTAGACGGGGAACGCATTTGCAAAAGTTTAAGCTAACAAAAGCTTATATGATGAAATTCTCTAACGCTTTTGACCTCAAAGTGCAAAACAAAGTCCAAGAAAAATTGTAAGCAGCGTCAACTTGCCTGCACACATGACATCGAAGGCAGTCAGGATGAAAGGATTTCTCTAAGGCCGTGCTCACATTGCCTTCCAGAGCCATGCCGCAACCGCTGCACTTTAGGCTGAATTCCCGGCGAAAGTCCTCCTGACAGTAAAGTTGCTTCCCTTTCATGTGAAATTTGGCCTCTTCTAGGGCCTTGCCACACTCTGCGGCAAAATGTGAAGACACTAACCGCGTGCTTACTTGAACACTTGAAACACCCCTTATGAACGTGTTCCTGGTCAATTTTTAGGACAGTGCCCCTACACCGCCGGTGACAAACGAGGCAGTTTATCTTGCCTGCAGGATGAAGAGATAAATATTAAAATCCCACTTATAGACATAAAATAAGAATTTGTCAGTTTAAAAGGCTATGTTTCTTCAAGTATTCCTGAGATCAATAGTTCTAAACAGTGGCCTTTCCGAAAGACATGTGTGTGGTGCAAATTGGCACATGTTTATTCACATACGACTCATAAGTGTTTCCTCAGAATTCCTATCAACAACCCTCTTATTTTGTGGGTGCTGGCATGAAAGCAATTTCATAAGTAGACAGTTTAAAATGCAGGCGTCTTAACCCTCATGTATGTGCGCAATTTCCTCTGCGAGCGCTATAAGTGGGCTCTGTAAGTAAAATCGGGTGAGCAACCTACCACAGTCTAAGTTGAACAAAATTACACGGCCAATGTTAGAAATTTCTAACATTGGCCGTTTTCCACTGCGTCCATTGGACCCAGTCAGTCAACACCACTGCCCTCACTTGAGTAGACAACGCTTATCATTTTTTACTTTAGACACTCCACGGCCATTTCGTCATATGTTTCCACGGCTACAATTTCGACGGAATTTAGCCAGCAGGTGCAAAAGGACATGGCTGACATAAAAGGTCAGTTAATAAACACAAATGTCCGGCTAGCGGCACTTGAGTAAGACTGTGAACAATCTCCCTAACAAACTATTAGGAGAAGGAACGATTTCCTAGCTGAGCAACTTATGGCTCTTCATAGCAGTGTGCAGCAGATGCAGGCGACACTATCAGATGTTGTCAATGCATTGCAGAGAGCCTCCAGCGCCGGTTCTGTCGCATCCTCCTCCCTAAATTTACCGCTGTGTACCGAGGAGGCATACGAAAACTTTCTTCGTCGGCTCAGCGTAGAAGACGGCTTTGCAAACGAGGCGGTATGTGCACATCTACTTGACTGTTTTCAGGTCCGGCAACTGGCCATGGTAGGTGGTCGAAATGAGGCAGACTTCCTCAGAAACCTACTGACGATTCTTTTGGGCCCGCCCTTATGCCACAACTTCTGTTGGGCGGGCGGATCCAAGGAGAAGAAGTCCTTCATGGCCTGTCCACTTTTTTCTGTCCTTAAAGGTAAGTCCAGTTTTTGTTTATTTTCCCGCGCAGATGCAATTGCCCAACATCCCCGTTTTGCCAACTGCACTACAGAGATATTTCGACGGACAGCAATCAGGTGGTTTCATGGATCACAGGACCGGTACGGAGGAAGATCGACACGTCGGCGGAGCATTCGTCAGGTACAAAATTTGGGGATTTTCATCCACATTTATTTAGACTGCAGAAATCACCACACCTGCCGCCACATGCCCACAATTATCCCCCGCGAAAGAAGCGGTAAGCAAATTTATCAAATTGCCAATCCTACACAGCATGCTATTTACTTCATGTGATTTTTACTATTACAGTAGATGTACTTGTACTTGTACTCGATACGGCCTCCGTTATCCTCGCGATGTTGTCGCAACGAGCGCGAACTATCTCATTTGAGACCAAGTCGGTTAACTTCACTCGAAGGATGATCCTCAAGCAGTGGTGGTCAAATACCTACAGTTTTCGCTCATCCGCCACGCGCAAAGCTCAGCATTCACTACCGTAGAGAAGGACAGACCGGACAGACGCGAAACTTAGTGGCGATGGAGAGGTCACGTCGGTTCCACAGGCATGCAGGTATGCAGCTGTAGAATACGTTGGTCTTCCCAGCGTTTATGGACAAACCGACCGACTTAGCGACCTCGTTCACCCATGACACCATAGACTGCAGATCACCAAAACTTGACGGTAGTAAGGCGATATCATTGGCATACTCGAGATCAGTCAGTCGATGTCGGGGTGCAAATTCAACGCCTTCACTGTCGCGTAGGGTCCTCCCGAGGATCCAGTCAATAGCGTAGTAGAACAGTATGGGTGACAGGATACAACCCTGTCGGACGCCAGGCAGAATACCGAACGGTTGGGAAAGATTGTTACGGACCACGACTCTCGCAGTCGTCGAACGATAGTAGGCCTTGATCATGGCGATGATTTTTGCCGGTACACCATCTAGCGCCTTTATCCGCCACAGAGACTCACGGTGAACGGAATCAGCTGCCCCATAGACTGATGTCTTCAGTGACGACCACTGCTTACTGACTTCTCCGTCGGCTCGGGCTGTAAAACAGGTCCGGATTTCTCTGCTTAGGGCCTCGGCAGTGCTGGCTTGCCGGATTTTTGCGACATTGAGGCGTCTAGGACGTGGCATTTTTGGTGCGGATGAGAGATGAACTTTCAAGCGTGTACGGACGAGGACATGGTCCGACCCATGGGCGTTACCAGTCTTGGCACCACGCATCGATCTGCTATCGTGAACCCAGCTGCGGAACCTTCAGCTGACTTCTATGTAGTCAATCTGACTGGCCGTGCGACCGTAGTTTGAATACCAGGTCAGCAGATGTTTTTTGCGATGCTGGAAGCATGTGTTGGTGACAATCAGCAGATCGCGGCGAGGCAGTCTTTCAACTAGCGCTTGCAACTGAGAGTAAAACGCCTCTTTATCGCGCTGTTCGGCAGCCGACGTTGGTGCGTACACAGCGACGATGGAGATGTTCGTGACGTTCGTACATTTCAGCATCCAATACCGAGAGGCAGTCCCGCAGTTCCCGCGGACGCCGTAGCTTGGGCCGTAGTACTGTGATCGGACATGTTGCATGGAGTTTCTTGGGAATTTCCAATACGTGCGGGTCCCCAACAGCCGCTCGGATTGTTTGTTTGAGGTTGTCTCCTTTAGAAGATGTGCTAACTCATGAAATGTCAACCACAACTTCGAAATGCGTTCTCGTTTCAGGAAGATAAATGACGTAGTGTTGTAAAACGAACCATGATGCAGCATAAGTCTATAATGATTCAGTTACCTCAGGGTGTCGGCTTTGGAAAGAACTTATTTTCGGCTGCATGCAAGGTCTATACTCTGCAAAAAATGACTACTTAAGTAGCATGCAATTTTCTCATTGATTTTCCATGCCTTTGAAAATTCAATTATATTTCGGGGAAAACGGACATGAAAATATTCATTCGTTTACTTATTCGGTAGAACATTACGTCTTCTTCCAATTTCATACTGAAAAGAAGAGTATAATTCGGTTTTAAAAAAGTTTCCAATTGTGAGATTTTGTAATACCGTTAAATGACCGTTCATGATACGTCATGCATCTACATTTACGAATGCGGCTTGTAAAGTTAACAATATTGCTCAAATCCACTGCTTACTTTTATGAACCTCATATGGTCTCCTCTGAACACCGAGGAGATATGCATGGTTTTCCGTACACGGAAACTATACAGCTTGTAGTTTTTAAACCCTGAATGCAAGTGTAACGGCAGGTCGGGTTCAAAATTATTCGGGAATTAGAAACTTTCTTAAAGCCCAATTATACTCTTCTTTTGAGTATGTAATTGGAAGAAGACGTGATTTTCTACGGAATAAGTAAAAGAATAAATATTTTTATGCATGTTTTCCACGAAATATAATGGAAATTTCAAGGGCATCGAAAATAAATGAGAAAATTGCATACTACTGAAGTAGTCATTTTTTGCAGAGTATAGATTTTGCATGCAGCCGAAGATAAGTTCTTTCGAAAGCCGACACCCTGAGGTAACTGGATCATTATAGATTTATGCTGCATCATGATTCGTTTTACAACACTACTTAATTCATCTTTTTGAAACGAGAACGCAGTTCGAAATTGTGGTTGACATTTCATGAGTTAGCACATCTACTGTAAAATCGTACGTAGTAGATACAGTGTTTAATTACTTTCGTTGCACCTGCATTACGTATGTCTTACGAAATTTTTTTTTATGCAGGAACTACCAATGGCCAGTGGAAGTGACTTCTCATTCTGGATACGAAGGTCGCAGAAACCCCCCTGATCCAAGACGGACTTTGTACATTTACATTTTTTGACTTACGTATTCAATAAATCGTCCTTCCACAATACCGCCTTCCGACTTTACCATCTTCGGGACGTGGGGGTTCGCTGTGGCTAGTTTCGGGGTTTTACGTTAGGCGACCGTTCGTCATGGTTGGCGTTTACGGCCAAAAAATCGAGGCCGCGATGAATGGAAAAAACGAGAAAAAGCCCGCGCGCAAAAGTTTTTCCAAGGTGCGGCCAAGTGCGGCCAATGCGTTGATGGCCAGCGCACAGCCACACCATTTGGCCACACCTGGCCGCAGCATAGCCGCACTTGGCCACACCATATTTGCCTCGGCCAAGTGCGGCCAAGTGCGGCTGGTGCTGGCAGGGAAGTTATTTAGTGAGATAGTAAATAAAAGAACAGCCTGTAGTGCCACAAATAGAACTTTTCGTTCTAAAACGCATACATTCAATACTTTTTCATTCATTATACTACATTATTCTCTTATAATTAGAATTCCCAAAACGAAACAGCAGTGGACGTCGTCGGCAGCGACGGCTGTGTTATCTTCACCAACCTTGCGCGGTCATTCCTCAATACATCAGAAAAAAACGTATTTAATCGTCTGAATTTCCCACATACTTTATTTTGCGCGAGCAGATAGTACAATCACTAATTAATTCGGCAAATGGATAGGTTGAATGAACATCTGCAGCCGTCCAAGTCAACAGTTGGATAAATAGCAAGACAAACTGCAAAATCATAAGCGGAATATTTTAGTCTAAAGCACACGTGCAATCATAATGTACTTTCCATCTTAGTTAAAATTCCGCAAATTTGATACCAGTGGACAACAGCGTAGAAGACTGTCGAACCATAATCGTGAAACTTGCCCAGCTATCCCTCACTTTATCAAACAAAAACCTTTCCGGATTGCGAGTTCCCTACCTTCTTTACTTTGCCTGAGCAGATAATAAGAACAGCAATCAACTGATCCCATATGTACATATATTCACTCAAAAATAGGTGCACACCGATCCATTGGCTTCCCGACGCTAAGTTTGGGTGATAAAGATCCCGAACAGGCCACCACCCACCAGGCCAAAATATGCTAAGCCGTGATAACAGAAGGGAGGTGATAGAGTATGGTGGTAGAATGATACAGCACTGTTTGGGGCTTGTCTCCCATCATTCAGCCAATCATAACTTTGACCACCAGCTGGGACCGGAAGCATAAACCTGCGCACAGAAACACCTAGCGTAGACGACGGATAACGAGTAAGTGTAATCAACTTGAAAATTCACGAGTACAACTCGATTCTACTTAAGAGTCTTCTCGTTTTTATTGTATCACTTTTGAATACAGAGCACGTCAGTTATTTAAATATATATTTAAACATATTTAAGCTACTGTTGTCACGGTCGAAAAGTCGACTTCCAAGTACACATGCTCATCCACAACATATGCTGTGAGGCACTACTTTAAGGTCCGAACATTATGGAAGCGTGTACATACTATTGACTCTTAATTACCAAAGCGTAATGTGCATCAATTTTCAAGGGGATCCCTGTTTCCGATGTCCGTTAGTGGACAGAAAAAAAACTAAATGGTAAAAGGCATCGAGAACAAAAAGTTTTAAAAAACTTAATCCTTAACGTGGGCGGCCACCTGGGACATCCACAGAGTGTACAGCGTATTTTAAAATACGCTGGAGGCCAGATGTGACTGATTCTCACTCACGGAATGACACCCATTATAAAGAAAATTCTGCAAAATCAACTTGAGAAGGGACCCAGAAGCAAAGTGACGAGTCACTCGTTAAGGCGTCAAATTCCAAATAAAGTCAGGACAAATACATTTTGCTCACATGAATGATAGCATTAAGCTTCAAATTTGAATCTTAATGCTAGCATTGTCTGAAGGGAATTCCACCAATTTCGGTTTAACAACTTCCTAAGCTAAGAGGTGTGGAGAATTTTGCCTATCGGTTCAAGAATCCTAATACTTCCAAGGAAAAGCAAACAAGATTATGCGTTGTGCTTGTGCACATATGCACAAAATAATATAGCATGGGGAAGCAAGCACAACTATCTTAATTAAGAACCCCAGTTCAAAGATATGGCGACTAGGTCTGGAAATAAAACCTACCCATGTTAAGCCGTGTTAACTACTGCGCAAGACTCAGCTTCCCATCGACTTTTAGACAAACCGCAGACTTCACTTTTCGAGGTTGCACCAAAAACGTTGGACATCATGAAGGGTTTAAACAATGCTTTTATGGAATTGAGCTACGTCACGTTTCAGCGAGTGACAGGTGAAAAGGAGGGTCACCTCAACAAACAAAAGGTTATTGAATATTCTGATACTTGTTCGCCAAATTCCGCGGTAACATACGTATTTCGCGAATACTTGGAATAATCACCAGAAATCTTAAAGTGCATTGTGGGTGTTGTAGTAAGCAGGCATTCGGAAACGATAAAAGCAGCAATAAACGAGGTGCGTATGCTTAAAAAGACGTGCGCAAGCTCACAGATAAGATTCGGAATACGGGGAACTCCAATTCGCTTTCCCTGTGAGACTTGAAGGATAAGTGAAGCGGAGATTTAGAATCACATATTCTATCTGCATTTGAGTATTGAGCAATTTTGTAAAAAATCAGATTATACAAAACCTTCATTTTATCACCAATTTGTCTGTTTTGCCCGTTTTTTGTGATACCTTCTGCACGTGCAGCGGGAGAGAGCAACTTGGCCATTTTCAGGGGACGAGTGATACAGAGGAACGCCATGTTGTTTTGGAACCAGCCGGTCATCATGATGGCGGCAGCAACATAATATTGGCAAACCCGAGACAAACCGAACGAAGCACTGTCGAATGTTGCAAACTAAAATTCTTTTACACTAATGCTCGGAGTCTGTTTTCCAAGCTTGACGAACTGAGAATACAGGTAGCCGATACTCCTTCCGATGTTATAGCAATAACAGAAACGTGGCTGTCAGAGGACGTTGGCGATTGCGAGGTAGCATTAACAGGATACCATTTGTTTAGGACAGACAGGAGAGGCCGCCGGGGTCGAGGAGTTGCCATGTATGTCAAGAGCATCTTAGCAATGTGTGAGAGGACCGACAAGATTTCTAACGACACAGATGCAATTTGGCTGACTATAAAGGCGCGGGGATCTCAGTCCCTCGAAATCGTAACTATCTACCGGCCCCCGCAGGCGGATCCCGATCCAGATACTTGTCTACTTGAAAGCATAAAAGAGATCGCCAGCCGACCAGACGTTGTTCTCATGGGGGATTTTAATGCACCCTGCATTCAATGGAGCGATATGCATGCGAAGTGCTCGATGAATACCTTCGATTACCATCTACTAAAGACAACCCTAGAAGCTCTACTCACGCAACATGTCCTGTTTCCAACTAGAGGTCGTGGAGGGCAACAGGCCAGTTGTCTGTACCTCGTTTTTACCAAAGATCCTGACAGTAGAGACGAGGTGTACTACCTACATCCGCTCTGTGGAAGTGATCATGCAGTGCTTTTATGGGAGTACTTGCTGTATTCTGATCCGTGTACAAAAGACAATACGAGGCCAAATATATGGAAAGGGGACTTTCGCCAAATGAGAGCTGAGGCATCACAAATAGACTGGGATGTTCTCTTCTCCGGAAACGTTAACGAGGACTGGAATTTATTCAAGGATCGTTTACTGCATCTAATGAACAACCACTGTCCCTTATCAAAGCCTAGGATATCCAACCGCCCTCAGTGGCTAACACGAGAGCTCAAAATGGAGATCAACAAGAAAGGAAGATTATGGAAGAAATTTCGTGAGAACAACAACAATGCAGCGTTTACAGAATACAAAGTTCAAAGAAATAAGGTGAAAAGTCTGATTTTCAGGAGGTGACGAGATTTTGAGAGTAATTTGCTCCACCAAGCCGTTAAAAATCCGAAATTGCTCTACAGCTATTTGCGGAAAAGCACACGTAACAGGAATCCCATTACTGTTATGAGGGGTGATGACGGCTTGGAGATATCGGACAGTACAAATAAGGCTGAGCACTTTTCTCAATTTTTCCGATCCGTTTTCACAAGAGAAGCACACTTTACCGCATCTAATTCTGAGAACATGAGAGATCCCACTATCGAAAGTAATGTGTTTCGAGAAGAAGCGATTTTAGAAGAACTGAAAAGCTTGAAGGAATGTAAATCTTCCGGTCCGGACGAGATCCCAGCAAAGCTGCTCTTTGAGCTTGCCCAGCAGCTGGCCAAGCCACTATCCTTTCTGTGCCAGAAATCGTTTGATGCTGGAATTCTTCCCACAGACTGGAAGATGGCCCACATTACACCCCTTTACAAAAGCGGTAGTCGTGCTCTGGCGACAAACTATAGACCCGTCAGTCTGACATCAATCTGCTGCAAAGTGATGGAGAAAACCATCAAAAAGGAGTTGATGACTTATCTGGAAAGCCACAACCTCTTGTCCAATGCACAACATGGTTTCCGTAGGGGACGATCATGTGTTACGAACTTGCTATACACAATGCAAAGTTGGACACGAGCACTGGACGCAAAACACACCGTGCATGTTGCCTATATTGATTTTCGGAAGGCGTTTGACAGTGTTCCGCACCAGCGTCTCCTACACAAGCTGAGAATTATGGGCATCGGTGGCAAACTTCTCAAATGGATTGAAAATTTCCTTGTCGGCCGCTCCCAAATTGTCTGCGTAGAACAACAACAATCAAGGTGCACATTCATATAGAAAGTGGTATCCCACAAGGCTCGGTGCTCGGACCAACCCTCTTTCTCTTGTTCATCAATGATTGTGTAGATGGGTTGGACTGTAATTGTGCCATGTTTGCGGACGACATAAAAATCTGGAAATTCATCCAGAATGCCGCCGATGAGACCAACTTCAAGAAAATCTTTGTCGATTGGACGAGTGGTCCCGCTGATGGCTCTTGTCCTTCAATTTGAACAAAGGCACCATTCTGCGCCTCGGAAATCA